TCTGAATCAGATGCACCTTAGTCTTCAAACTGACATCATTGCTCCTCAGTAATTTGGAACAGTGTCTGCCTACAGACTTTCCCAGTGCAATCAATGTCTCCTGATCTCCTGACTGCTGGTACCAAGGGTGCTGACTGTGGACCCAAGTAAGATGAAGTTGTAGACAATTTAAATCTTCCAAGTAACTGCTTTTTCTGCCCAGACTGAGTAGTATAGAGAAGAGAATAGTGCTAAGAAATCTGTAAGAGTTCTGAATTGGCTGTGGCTTATATATGTCCATACAGTGAACACTGGCTTGTTTATGACGTTTCCTTCAAGGAGTCTAAACTTACTTCCTCGGCTTACTTCTTTTCATGCTTTTCCTCAGGGGAAAGGAGAGTTATTTGGTTGGTACATTTGGGGAAAATGAACATGTTAAAATCAGCTCCTCTTTAAGGGGAGACTGACCACAGAGCAATGGAATTCTCTGCTCCATACTGTCCAGTCTATAGGCAGATGGAGAGGCTACCTGGGCCCAACATCACACAGCATTAGTGGTTTTGTTCTCCTTGATGTGTACTTAAATATACACTTTCAAAACTGAGATTAGTTTCTATTTAACATTATAGTGTGAACATTTCCTATTACTATTCTTCAAAATGTGTGTGTGTGTGTGTGTGTGTGTGTGTGTGTGAACAGCTCCTTTGAATCAGAATCAACGTATAGCTGACCCTCCAGCAGGTTTCAGAGGCTGTAAATCGCCAGGAGATTGTCTTTCTTTCTCCCAAGGAGCTGCTGGGAGATTAAAACTGCATGCGTTTGGGTTGGCAGTGCTAAGCCACAAGAGCTCCATTTATTCAGCCCTGGTTATGGTGGATATGCCACATTTGGATGGTTCTGAATTTTTCATTATTATAAATCACTTTTACTTTAATAAAAGACCTTATACATAACTCACAGTATAACTGATCAAGATGAATTTCTAGGTGTGAAATTACTGAACTGAAGAATCCACTGATGTTAATTCCTCTACTCCCAGGTGTAAAGCTCTAACACATAGGCTGTAGTGGAGGTCAAATTATCTTGAGTAATGCTCAAAAAGAAAAACTGAAGATTATAGTGATGTCCTCAGTCAATCAATTTAATAAAGAAAATGATCAGATGGTCAAGAGTTAGTAAGCAAAATAGGACAGAAAGTGAGGTGGAAGGAGAAATCAAAGGGGAAGCTAGGAGAGAGCTGTGGCTAATTCTGTTCTGTGGGGAAGAGAGCTACTGAAAATGAGTACTATGGAAACCATAACCAACTCCTCCCTCTGGGATCTCTCTCTCAGGACTTTCCTTTCTGGGCTTTTAAGAAATTTATAGTTACTGCTGTGATGGTTACATACGCCATGTCATAAAATGGCAAGCACACAAACTCGGAAATGGGTTTTCTCTTCTACACTCTCACTTCCTCAGTGACAAGGGTACTTAGAACAGTCTATCTTTACAGGGAATCTTCTCCCTGAAATAATAAGGTGTTCCAAGTGGGAAAAGGAGTTCTGATGTCTTAGTAGTAAGTTGTGCTGCCAACCCCAAGGAAGGCAGTTCTAATCCACTAGCTGCTCTGTAGGAGAAAAACGGGCAATCTCCTGTGCGATTTATTGCCCCTGGAAACCCACTAAAGGTCAGCTATGATTTGATTCCTACTCAATGATCACTACCACTAAGTGGGAGAAAACACCATAAGTGCCTCAGGATGAGCTTTAACCCCTTTTGCTTCACTTCCATTGCAACCCTAGTTCACAGGCTCACTGTCTTACACAGCGCCTACTCAGAACCTCACTCAAACCTCCTGACCTGGCAAGATCTCTAGACCTTCTGTTAACCTCTCTCTGGCCTAATTCTGTGTCTCAGTTCCAGCTCTGCTGAACATTTCTACTCCTCTTTTTATCAGTTTTATAAACCTTCTCTAAAGGGTCAGCAATATTTTAGGCTTTGAAGAGTATATAGCTATTCAATCTGTTACTGTAACACAAAGGCAGTCATATCTAATACACAAATAAATAAGCAAACATGTGTTCCAAGGAAAACTTTATTTACAAGTGCAGGAGGCCACATCTGGCCACAGGTTGTAGTTTGCCAGCAGAACTGTACATCACTGCTCCCCAAGTATGGTCCCCAGATGAGCAGTATCACCATCAATTAGGAACTGGTTAAAAATGCAAATTTTTCTGGCCTCACCTCACACCCACTGAACTGGTTTTATATAGGCTGGTGGTGAGGGCTAGGCATGTGTTTTAACAAGCTCTCTGGATGATTCGAAAGTGGCAAAAGTCTGAAAACCACTGCACAATGGCACAGGTGCCTAAGTAGATCTTGTAATAAGAGACAAAGGCTCCTAGTCAAAATGTCTATTCGAATTCAAACATAGTTCCACACACTCTACACCCCTGAACATTCAAAGTTCAAGATCTGCAACTCTTGATCATCAAATAGGATTCCTAAGTTACCAGTTTAGCATGTGGAGGGTCTCTTAGGGCCAGAGACCACTTAACGTAGGAATCAATCATTTCTTTTCACATTTAATATGCCACTGGCAAATAATTAAGGGCAAAACAAATAATTAAGGGCAAAACTGGATAGCATCCAATGCAGTCAAAAATCTTTACAAGTGATCTGATTCCAGCTGCCAGGCCTCCTGGGCCTGAAAGTGATCACCCATGAACTTGATACTCTGTCCTAACATCCCTAAGGCCCAGCCACATGGTCACATGTAATTACTGAATAAAGTGAAATTAACCTGCCTACATTCACACCTGAATTACTGAATCAACACAAAATTAGGCTCTTCAATTCTGAAGTGTCAAATTAATTTAAAAGCTTAGCACAAGAAAGGGGAAAAGTATTAACCCATAGCAATCCCCTTCCCATCTAATTCTTGCCATAAACCTAACCTCAGCAGGTATGTAACCATGAAATGTATGTATTAAGGCCATACTGTAGCAGTTTTCTTATACCTCTATCTCTGAATTTGATTCTGATCTAACATCACCTGAATGAACAGAACGGCCCCCAGTAACACAGACATTCCCCTTTCCTTACTCATCCCCTTATCCCACTGACACAGCCATTCTCTTCCTACTAGCACGGCTTAATCCTCTACCCCCTGACGTAGTGGAATTCCTATGTGCAGTCCCAGTCAGAGGGGTCCCCAATCACACTTAAAACTGTTTATAAAATTCTTTTAGTAAGATACAGATTTAATAAGACCCAGTGTCACCAAATAGAACTAGATGGTATCTTCTCCTAATCCCCTTTTCTTTCTGTTTTACTTATATTCTAGTAGTGGTGATTCACACCTACAAAGACAATGTTAAGAAAAATAAAATTTATCTTCAGAAATCTTCACCTAGTATCAGAAAGTTCCTATATAAGAGCATGTAGTTTGATAAGGTAAAGGATGCTGTAAAGTTAAGATAGTTTTTGATGGAAAAGTAATGAGGATTATACTGAATTTTTTCAGAATGAAAATGTGTCTAGTTGTTTTTAAAACAACTCATTTGGAAACTGAACAAACAACCTGAATAGGCATATGAGAAAATTATACATGATCAATAAACATAAAAAATGGAAACGCAAATTTAACCAAGGTACAACTTCTCACCTATAAAACTAGTAAAGGTTTAAAAAAAAATCTGGTAAAGATTCTAAAGCTTTTTAACCTTCAGTGTTACTAAAAATACAAGGAACAGGCAACTTGTAAGCACTACTAGTAGAAATACAGAATAGAAATTTTTCCTCCTTGTCACCTGCCTGTGCCCTAAGACTCCGCAGTCTCACTTCTCTAAGTCTATGTTATAGAACTACACTGTCCAATATGGCGGTCATGTGCCACATGTGGAGATTTAAATTGAATTTCATTTAAAATTCAGGTCTTCAGCTGGACTAGTCAAATTTCTGTTGTTCACCAGTAAAATGTGACTAGGAGCTACTACTACACTGGTTAGTGTACATGTAGATCATTTCCATCATCACACAAAGTTCCAGCAAGCACTGGTGCTATGGACATGCTAATAGATAAGGACAAAAGGGACAATATACTCAGTGCAGTACTGCAAATAAAGCACAAAATTGAAGCTAGAAAAAGGTAAGAAATTAATAAATTAGATCATATTTATACTAAAATACACAATAAAAATGAAAGCGACTTAAAGGAACTCAGAAAAAGGACTCTTAAAATATTAAATTTGAATTTATATTGCGGAATAAGATAGGCCCTTATAAAATTACATATACAAAAATAGTTATTTATAAACTCTCTAGAGACAATGAAGTATCTACCAAGATATATACCAAACTGCAAGTAAGAGGAAAAAGTGGGACTGGAGAGGAGGATGGGGAATTTTCACTTTTATAATTTAATAAATAAATTTTAAAAAAGAAATTTATACTTCTGACTGCTTTCTTGGTAACCAGCATATGTAACTTCTGTATTTATCAAATCTCCTTTTTCAAATTTCAAGTGAAAAAGATAACTTACAGAACAGCCCTGAAAATATAATATAAATAAATTTCTCTTTAAACTGGTACTTTCATTCTCTAGTTTTATTTTTTTTAAATCTAGTAATCAAAAATACTTTTCTGAGGTCTTGAAAGAACCACAGATCTGTCTCCCTCTAGGTCTGGCCCCAGGCTACACATATCTATTTCCTACAGCATTTGCCGACTCTGCTATTCCCTTTGCCCTTTTTTGCCCACCCACACTTTCCCAAGAGTATGTTTGTGCTTCTTAAAAAACTACCAACTGATACTTCCCTATCACACAATAATACAAGCAAGGGCCTCAACTGTTTTACCCCCTTGCGTATGTACATGAGAACAATAAACAAAGCAGGTAAACAGAAGTGGAAGAGACAGGTAAACAGCAGGAGGAGAACAAATACATTATTTTGACTCCCCGATTACTCAAATGTACCATTTCTATATACAAATCCCAACCACTGAGTTCTTTTTCGAAATAAACTAGAACACATCAAATATAAGAAAACCACTACAAGCAAGTCATATGAGCAATTATGTTCCAAATGTGATGGATTTATTTTACTCTGATGCAAAAACCAAAAATTCCACTACAGCACAAAGACCAATCAATATATTAAACGGTCATGAAAAAGTGGTATGGGACATGCAGGACGTGATGTACAAACTGGAGGATCAGGTCATTTCCTTTATAACAAGACACTACACTGTCATTGAGGAACACATTTAAATAACACTGAGAAACTGATCTGAAATGTGGCACAAATATGACAACTTCCATGCATGCCTTCAAGTACCTCCCTTAGGATGGACTTGCAATCTCTAGACTTCAGTGTGGGGAGAAGTACAATTCTTTGGAAGAATAAAAAGTTCACACGTTTGAAATTTCACAGAATTTTAAGGCCAAAACATAGTGGGTTCATTTCTCTTCACCTCCAAGACCAAATCGGATGCTTTATTCAAAATCATATTAAGCTTCTAGTTCAAATCCCAGCCCAACCTTGTGACCTCCAGCACTGAAGTTCTTTCCATCAATTAAAGCTGACAGGGTCAGTTTGACTCCTAGAAAAAAGAAAGCACGTCATAATAAGTACTATAATCAGATCAGAATTTTCTTGAAATGATGGAGGGGTTTAATTGCATGGATTATTGCTGAGTGTAAGGGATACAAGCATATCCAACCTGAACCCACTGCCCTCAAGCTGGTTCTAACTCCTAGTGACCTGTCGAGTTTCTGGGATGGTAAAATCTTTATAGGCAAACATCCTTCTGCAGAGCAGTGGGTGGATTTAAACCGCTGACCTTTTAGTTAGCAGCACAATACATTACACACCATGTCACCAGTAAACATACACATAACACTAAATCTACACATTGTTGCTATGTGCCAGTAGTCAATTCCAACTCAAAGCAACACTGTATGACAGAACACTTCCCTACAATATATGCTAGTTGATAATCTTTACAAAGTCATGAGAGAAAGAGATTGACATTGTCAAGGATTTCATTTTACTTGACTCCACAATCAACATCCATCAAAGCAGCAATCAGGAATTAAAAGGACATAGTACACTGAACAAACCTGCTATAAAAGTCTTCTCTGAAGGTTAAAACGCAAAAAAAGGGCTAAAGTAATTTGGCCCAACCCACATAGTATTTTCAATCTCCTCATAGGCATGCAAAAGCTGGCCAATAAACAAAAAGAACTAATATGTTTAAATATGATGTTGATGAATAATATGGATGGGAAAAGACATCATGCTCATTGAGAGTTGAGGAAAAAAAACAAAAACCAAACTGATAAAGACTCTCAAAGAGATGGATCATCAGAGTGGCTGTAACAATGAACTCAAAATGTCAACAAGGGTGGGGATGATGCAGGGCTGGGCAGTGTTTGATTCTGTCATGCAGGTGATCATTCTAACTCAACTCAAAGGCACCTAAAAACAAAAACAATCTATATGGGAGCAACACAGCTCTTTTTCCTGTGGAGCTGCTGGCAGTGTGGTTAGCAGCTGAGCACTGAATCAATATGCTGCTACAAGGGCTCCTTAAATCTACCTTAGTTGTTCAAAATTACAAAATCTGCAATGAAGAGCACATGATCATAGTAACTTTACCTGACGTTCAGAGTTAGAACAAGGAACCAAACTAATCAGAGTGACCACAATGGTAAATATTTTTTAAAGTAAAGTACTTGATCAGATTTACTTTCTGAACAACCAAAAAATTTGATGTACTGAATATTAATTCTTCCTGTATCTCCCTTCACCCCGATCTCATTGTTATTTACTTACCGGGCCGAAGGGTCTGAGTATAACCAAGTCCAATGAGGCTGGCATTATTTACTTTAGCCTAAGATTAGGAGATAGAACAGAAACAATCAATTTCCTAATAGCTAAGTTCAATACAACTGCCATTTCATGCATCAGGTTTCCAAAGCTAAAACACTTAAGGCCAACCTATCATAACTGAAACAAAATTTTAATATGTAACAAGCCAAATTTTTAAGAAATCAATCAAGAGTGGTAGGGATGATGGAAACCTAAATAATGCTTTCTTAATGGTCTCAAGCATTTTTCCCCCCCAAAAAAACTGTGAAGCCAAACACAATGTCTCTAAGGTGACAGTTTATAATGTCGACAGTGATTAGAAGATAAACTCTAGTAACAAAGAACTCTGGTAATGTGTGACCTTGGAAAATTCACCTAACCTTTCAAAGCCTCATTCCCTTATCTATAAAATGGAGGTAAGGGTCCCACTACTCACCACACAGAGTAGTTGGGAGGACTACATGAGATCCAATACATACAAATGCCCTAACACAGTACCCAAAATCCAAGGGCTTGATTAGAGCTATTATTAATAACTAACAACAACAATCCCCATTAATTTACAGATTTTTAAAAATCATGAGACTTAAAAGACTTGGAAAGATTAGGCAACAGATAGTCCTGAAGAAGCGAGGACTAAAATCCACAGTTCCTATTTTCAAGTGTAATATTCTTTCATTACACAATGAGCTAGCATTTGTGGAACGGACATGGACAGAGTCATGCAAACTACATGCCATATCACTATTCATTCACCATCCTTTACTGGATGAGAACTCAAGACCAGATGCGCTTTAATAGCATGTTCTTACAGATAGAGAAGTTCTACAATCCAGCCTGTATTTAGCAGCTATGCCAAAACGAGTGTTGTTACTGCCAGCTGTCCAAGCAAGGTTTATTGATGTTTCAATCTTCTCATTAACCTTCTGGTAGATTGATCCTCCAAATTCAGTGCCATCATTCCTGTTTTCAAGAAATGGGGAAAAGTTATAAATATGTACGTTATAGCATTCTTAAGATGTGGAAATAAATTCTAAGGCTGTCTAAAAAAGGTCTCCTTTTGCAACGATAAATTTCAGCCAAGTTTTAGCATGTATGACTACTAAACAAGACAATTAAATCCTTAAAAAAAAAGGCCTAATTCATTTGATTGAGTTCTTCTGTTTCTGTGTACTGTAGAGTTGGAATCAACCTACAGCTGACCCTCCGGTAGGTTTTCAGGGGAAGTTAATCGCATGAGAGGAGACTGCCCGTCCTTCTCCCACGGAGCACTGGGGGCCTCGAACTGTGTGCCTTCAGGACTGCAGCTCAACTTCTTGCCACTAGACCACCAGAGCTCCCTTGCCTCTTACATGATGTAAATTTCTTAGACACAATTCAATAGGCACAAAGGCAGACACCGCAGGCAACTGAAACCTGTCAATCACTGAGATTTTCACAAAATTCAGAAACTTTAATCAAGAATTCAATAAAATTCTGGAGGAAAATAAAAATAAAAAATAAACAAAAAAACCTCTACAGAGATAGAAGTACAGAAGTAAAACAAATCTTGAATTTAATCTAGAGTTAGAGAGTACCCTATCATACCTATTTGCACTGCTCCAGAAAGGATTACTTACAAAGCATCCAAAAATTTTATCTTTGAGATTTTACCATTTTCCTGCTGTGCCACTATCAATGCCTTTCTTGGTTTATTATCACTAAATCAGAATGTCTAACAGAGAGTTCTCTATAAAACTTCAGCAACCTATAGCATACCCTTTGCATTTTCTTCCTAGGAGAGTTTGAACTGACCGCTCAGTAGGCCAAGACAGAAAATACAATTTAAAAATTCAAATTCATTCAGTCAACCAAGTGCAGCCTACATAACTGAATCCCAAGAATGCTCTTCAAGGCCTCAAGCTTCTTGTGACTCCATTAGGGAGAAATGTTTCTTATCAGGGTATCTGAAAACCTCTAAAGAATTAATGGAATACTGCAGAAAGCTCCTATCACTTCAGTGACTATTCTTAGTTATAAGAGCAAAACTGATTCAAGATACTGCCAAAATGCAAAAAGCAGCAGAAACATTTCCAAAGGATTCCTTCTACCAGGAGATAACCCAGGATCTAGGTTCTATCCAGTTCTGGTCATCTAATGGGTGAAGAGTTACATTGCCAACTCAAAGGCGGGTGGTTTGAGGCCACCAGCAGCTTCATGGCAGAAAGATGGGGAATCCCCTCCTAAACAATTTATGGCTCCTAAAAACCCATGACAGGGTCTGACTCCATGGCACCTAACAACAGGTTCTCTCCAGCTCCATGGTTTTGTGTATTGGAGTTGCCCTGAAGTCTGAAGTAAAAGCCAAGACGCCAGTAACTAGCAGCAGCACAGTATTACGTACCAGGTGTTTATAACGTCTTGTAATGTTACAATGAAAAAAACAGCACAAGGTTGTGTGTCAACTAAGCCATAGTAAACACAAGTACTATGACTTCTAACCTTCACTCCACACAATGACTAACATGTTTTTGGAAAACTGTATTGGTTCTCTTAAATACTCACACGTGGGTATGCAGCTGGAAGTCGGCCGCCTTATAACCCAGGGCAAAATTATTCTGTGACAGTTTGGATTTGGCTGTGTCAAAACTCATCTGATAGCCAGCAAGCCAACCTTCAAAAGCCAACACAGCCCAGCCATAGATGGTTGGTCCAGAAAAATCGATATCAACATTACTGCCAAGACTGAAACAATCCCGTCTATAAGAAGCCTTCAACTTCCCACTCTTCTTTCTGTGGAAAAACAAACATAAGTTTCTATTACTGGCCAACAATATTTACAGTAAGAACATTTCTCTTGAAATTCAAATATTATTTTGATAAAATAACTAGACTAAGAATGTTTCAAATGACTTAGTTTTATATATAATTTCTCTAAAATCACTAGTGATTTTCATCTATTTAAATTTAATGAAATGAAACTTGATTACTAATTTCATCAAGGTTTAAAAAAGTACAAAGTGTCAAATTAATAATCTAAAGATAAACCTAATCTCTTTAAGTGTTTCCAAATGCCTCAATGTTACCAAAGTCCACATCCAACACACTTCTAAATTATTAGCTTAACATGGACAGAAGTGTACTTTTTTGAAGGACAATATTAAAAACATTAAATTTGTTTTTAATAGTCCTTAATAGTATCATTCCAATGAGGAGCCTAATGAGAGTATCTGTCTTGAAGATAACTGAAATACGTACCAGGAAAGACAGAATCTACTGTTACAGGTGAAAGAAAAGCCACTTTGTATTCAGTGAGCTCTTTTCCCCCTTAGATATCAACCCATGTGAGAAAGCTAAGAAGCAACACTATGCCCAAATAATGGATAATAAAATTTAAGGTGAGAAGTCAAAGATTACAGAGGCTAAGAAAACAAAATAGCAGACCAACCAGTTTTGTGTCCTAGATCAAGGAGATTACACACTTAAATAATTAACTTCTCAGCCAAATACTACATCCATGAATCTTTAGAATAAAATTTAGAAATACCAATTGTCTCAGGAGGAGCCCTTGTGGCATAGTTCAGTAAGTGCTGGGATAATAGGTCAGTGGTTCAAATCCACCTTTCACTCCAGAGGAGAAAAACATTAAAAAAAAAAAGCTGGAATCAACTTAACAGCAGTGAGTTTGGTTTTCTTGATATAGTCTCAGTTCTTTCTTGCTACTAAGCCCTCTCTACTGTGTGCCTCTCTGGAACAGATTCAATTTTTGTTCAATGTTTCCATTTTAAAATCCAAATTTCACCCTACTTCAAATCTTTACTATATACACCAGACTGCCAGCAAGTTCCTAAACTTTTCCTACCTCTGTAACTCTATTAAAAGCTCTCTTATCCTTCAGGTTTCAAAAAAATCTCAGAAAATAGGATTTGGATAATTACCCTGTGTTCGGTACAAATATGGTATCAAGAGTCAGTTTCAATCCTTCAGCCAACTGAAAAATTAAAAGATTTTAAGTTAACAAATTATTTTCAATTCTTTTTTCAAGAAACCAATTCTAAAGTTTCTTCTAATTATCTAACAAAAGAGTAAGATATTAAAGAAAGTTGTGTATTAAAGTATTACATCATCTAGTAAATTATTCCTACATCCTTTCCTCTTCCCTGACCCTCCCTCCACTTTCACCATGAATCTCCCACCAAAGGCAGGTTGAAGTGGGTCAAATCCTAGTACAAAAAAAATTTCATAAACTACAGTATAATGACTGGGGATGATAGGAGAAGAAATGATGTCTTTGAGCTGTGGTGGTGGAAAAGAGCACTGAATATACCATGGACTGTTAGAACAAAAAGGAGTGGGTGAAGTCAGGCTGCTCCTTGGAGGCAAGGATTCTGAAGCTTTGTCTGACATACTTTGGGCATGCTGCAAGAAGGGACCAGTCCTTGGAGAGGAACATCATGCTTGGAACAGTAGAGGGGTAGCACAAGAGAGAAAAAGATGGACTGATTCAGTGACTGGGGTAATGGGGATAGGTGTGTCAAGAGACAAAAAGGTTGGCTCAGGATAGAGCAAGGTTCAAAGCTATTGTACATAGGGTCACTATTAATTGCAGGTAACTCAACAGCACGTAACAACAACACAGTACAAAAAAAAAAATTACAATTCATAATAATCTGTTACTGTCTTAACACATTTATAATGAGATGACCTGACATTTAACAAGTCATCCAATCTGAGAAGAATGTCATGCTTGGGAGGTTAGAGGGATAGCAGGAGAGGACGACCCTCAATGAGATGGACTGATTCGGTGACTGGGGTAATGGGGGTAGGTCTGTTGGAGACAATAAGATTGGTCCAGGATAGGGCAGGGTTTAGGGCTGTTGTACATAGGGTCACTATGAGTTGCAGGCAACTCAACAACACATAACAACAACAACATACATGTATCCAGTGAGCTCTCATGGCCTAGTGGTAAGAAGCTGCACTGCAATCCCAAAGGCACACGTCATTTGACAAAAAGATGGGCAATCTCCTCTCACGCAATGTACTGCCTCTGAAAACCCGCTGAAGTCGGTTCCAACTTGACAACACACAACAGCAGCAACATACATACACAGTGTATTTACAGAAGGCAATATGCATGAAGACAAAGCTCAATAAATAGTGCCAAGAACATAGCCTGCACTAGACATATAGCTACAGAAAGACTTTGTCTTTCAAAATATTACAAAATTTTAGAAAATTTTTTGTAGAGTCAATTTTTCCAGTGGATTCAATTTTGCAATGACAATAAAACAAAACAAAATGAATCCAAATAGTTTGGTCTACTGTACCAGGAGAAATTAAGTGGTATTAAGGAATAAATAGAACTGGTCAGAACAAAGATACAATGTGATAATTAATGTACTCAAGAACAAAGCTTTATATTTTACAAAAAATAAGATGTACCAAAATAAGGTCACATGCAGATATGTTGTAACATCTCAGGCAGATTCCATGTGCATTTGTTCAATATAGACTTGGTAAAATGTATTTAATCTACAAATAACTTCTTGTGCTTGCTCTTACCTTATTCTCCAAAGAGATTTCTGTCCCAAGAGTATTATCTGTGTTCCATTTTTGGGTGAAGGTGAGTCCATAGTTACAGACCTTATATTTGGTCTCTAGATTGCCCGTTGCTTTCCCTGTATCAGTGTAAGCATGACCAGAAGTAGAAAATTCCTGGTGATCAAGAAAAATGGTTTTAATTATGGAAAATAGTGCCAGATCTATCAGGAACCAATATAATTTATTCTTTTCCACTTATCACTTGTTGTTCTTCCTTCCTTACACTCAAAATTGAATGAAAAGAACAAAAACTAATTAACCATTTTAAAATTTTTCCATAATTCCAAGCCTTCTTATTAGCAGTTCCCCTCTTTGTAACTTGGGAATTTAATTTCCTATTTTAAAAGGGAAATAATCTTTTTAAAAAGTACCTTTATTAAAAAAGACAAAAATATTAAGCCCTAAACAGTTTTTTCAAAGATCTGAAAATTGGCAGTTCTCTAGCATATTTTCAGACTATTAGTTAATTTGCATCTCCTTAAAAATCCCTAAACCCTAGAAGCACTCTCCTTGTTGTTGTTAAGTGCCAGTGATTCAAGTATGACTCACAGTGACCCTATTAAGAACAAAGCCTTAAAAAAGGGCCTAAACCATTGCTTTTGCCCACAAGACTATCTGTAAAACTTTCAACATAAAGAATTTCAGTATCTGAAAATATGTAGACCCTTTCAAAGAGAAATGGAATGTTGTAAAATCTGTAACACTCCTTTTCCTCATTCCTTCAATCTACTTTTCTTTTAAAGTTACTGTAACGGCCTTAAATGTTATCCTCCAACCTAGATAAGTGTCCTTTCAACCATATGACAGCCAACAGTTAGAAATAGATCTCCTTTTAAGAGGATGCAAACAGTCAACACCTGTCACTATGCATCTATGAACTGTCATGGAGGAAAAAACAAACAAACAAACAACATTATCCTGATTGGATCTGTTTTTAAGCAACATTTTAAAATGCTGCCAACAGTAATGAAATACAGCCTGTCCAACCAGTTCTGTAATATGTAATATGAATTTACTGCCTGCAATATGAATCCTCCCTCTAGCAAAGATCCTGCTCTATAACTCTAGTTCTAAGGCCTGATGAGAAAACTGGGAACTATAATCTGTTTATCAACAACAGATAGAAAGTTTTTAGACAGAATATCATCATGCTGCACATTTAGGGCAAGGCCTTAGTAAAAACGGTAAGACATTAATCATGTTTAACAGTACACATAATTCTTTCCATGTAACAATCATTTTAAATAAAGTCTTATTTTTAACATTTACTTTCACAGACTTTACAACAACAGCAAATATAAATCTTCACTTTGGTGCTGTGAAAATTTCATGCAAAAAATGAATGTCTGAGTATTTTTCCACATCTCTTCTATATTACCATTGCCATTTCTTAGTTTGGAATTCTGTCAAAAATCATAAATGTCAAAGAGAAGGCAACATTTTTCTAAGTTGAATTTACAGGTTCTCAGTTTCAGTTTTTTTGCCTTGTTTCACGATAAGGGCAAAGGAGTGCAAAATACATTTAAAACATGCAAGGAACATCCACAGCTCTATGTGAAGTGCTAGCAAGCAACAGAACAACTGCAAAAGAACTACTGTTAAGATATATAGTATATAATGAAAAAAAAATTCAAGGAATTTGAATAGGTGAAATCGATCTTAAATCAATACCAGACACCAAAAACAGCCATAAAAGCAAGCACAGAAATAAATGTTCCTTACCATCTAAATGAATATTCCCAAACCACAGCAGCATGAAAAGGAGATAAAATTTTAATTGATAACTTCTATAACATGAGCATAATTTGAACCCTGAAACACTATTCAAAATGAGTACTTTTCTTTTTTAACAGAAACGCACATGCGCGCGCGCACACACACACACACACACACACACACACACAGTTCTGATGGCCTAGTGTTAAGAAACTGCACTGTAATCCTTAAGGCATGCAGTTCAAATCCACCAGCTGCTATGTAGAAGAAGGATGGGCAATGCCCTCCTGTGCAATTCAATACCTCTGGAAACCCACAGGACGGTCAGCTATGTATCAGTTTGAATTTGACGGCACACACCACCACCACCACACATATATATATCATATGCCCATGCTAGTGAAAATACTCATTCCATTGCCAACAAGTAGTTTCCAACTCATAGCGACTCTATAGGATAGAGTACAACTGTCTTCCAAGGGTTGTCAAGACTGTGATCATCATAGGAGCAGACTATCACATCTTTCTAAGAGCCACTGATAGGTTTGAACTGCTGATCGGTAAGCAACCAAGTGCTTTAACCACAAAGTCATCAGGGCTCCTCTTAAAGGAGATCTTGTTGGTGGACATTTATTTATTCTCCACTTAGCATAATACATAAACAGGTCAGGATGCTAACAGAAAGGCTGGCAGTTGAAACCACCAGCCACTCCACAGGAAGAAGATGGACAGTCTCCTCCCATAAGCTACAACCTCAGAAATCTGATGGAGGATCACTATGAGTCAGAATCAACATCAGTGAGTCTGGTCAAAGTATAGTAACAATTTGATATGCCTCTTGACCGTCTAATTAAAAGTTATCTTGAAATAAAATTTCCCTAGTTTTGAATAAGTAAATACTAAAAATTATTCAGGCAATGAGAAATTAAAGAATGAGGTGACTATATAATTCATTGAAGTTTGTTGAACGGAAATTTGGGTTAATGACTCTAAAACATGTCAATATAATCTTGACTATGTTAAGTTCCACTAAACAGACTTTATAAACATAAACAATTATAGAATAATCTACATTCAATTATAACATTTGTTTCAGTTAATCATGAAAGGACAGGGATGAAAATGAATTTGCCCTAGTAAAAGGGCATTAAAGGTTGCATGGACTTCTGAGATCACTGTCCTAAGATAATTTTTAAATCTTAAACCAACAACATCCCCTGAACTCTTTCTTCTTAAAACCAAACAACAGCTTAACTAGTAAAGAAATCTGCCTTGGCCATTTACACTCTTTTAACATCTATCTATATGAAATCAAACTGACAGTAATATCAAAAGATTAGGGAAGAACTTTAAAGAGTGTGTGTGTGTCTAGAGTAATGTACAAAATGTTGACATCCAATGCGAGGGCAAGTTAAGTTTATCTTAGTGGGGAGAAACAACTCAGAAAAGATGGCTAAGAATGATTACAAAAAAGAATGCAATCAAAGTCATTATAAATAGTACATTGTAGGAACTGCTGAATTGGTATATGTTCTGCTCTATATAGTCTCAATAACAAAATAAAATAAAGGATAAAAAAGATCAGAAGGCTGGAGGAATAAGGCAGAAGGATGAACAGAAACAACACTGACGGGAAAATTGCAAAGAGAGCTGTTACAATGGTGGGGCTGTAACCTATGTCACAGAACAAAGTCTGTATGAATAATTTGAAAAAATCAAGTTTCTCTGTAAGCATTTACTCAAAACTAAAGGGAAAAAAATCTTATATGCAAACACAAGCAAAATTTCTAGTGTCCACGTGTACATTCATGGAAGTATAAAGATATGGCATAGGTAAAAAAATACGTATTCTGTATCTTCTAGGGGTTAAGATTCAGTATTTTTAATACTTTTATTTATTTTTTATTATTTTGTGTGTGCGTGTACCACTGGATTGTATCCGACTGGCACAGAAGGAGATTGCCCCTCCTGCACCAGCTGAGCATCTGGTGGATTTGAAATGCGTGCCTTCGGGGTTTGCAGTGCAGCTTCTTGCCACTAGGCCACCAGAGCTCCCTTGATTCATCAGAGCTCCCTTGAATTCAGTATTTTTTTTTTTTTTTAAATTTAGGTTGTTTATTTTTCATTTCAGGATTCAGTATATTTTTATAACAAACATTGAGAGTCCTTCAAATTTTAACCTATTTTAGATTTAGTTGGTTGAGTAATGATGCTTACCAAAATATGAGAGTAGGACAAATCTGTAGGGAAGATACCGTAGTGCCAAATATACAGTGATTTACATAACTAGCATCAATAATCCTTTTTAGACTGGTTTCTTTCAATACATCACATTTATTTAAAAGTATCAAGTACTCACCACTCCACTACAAGACTTGGTTTTCAAGTCAATTTTGACCATGCCAAATCCTAGACATACAGAAAAACATAGAAATGTAAAAAAATCTGGAATCCAGTCCAATTTCTTCAATCAGAAATTACAAAAATAGTCCATAATATCTTCCATATGGTAAATATACAGTATTATCACTATCTGGTTTCATACAAAATTGAATTATAAGTAATTTAAGTATAGCTTTCAAGCCATCCAAAACATAGAAATACATACTTTTAAAATATAAGCAAAAAAAATTAATAACATGAATGCCCCATTTTAAGAAACAATGTTACTAGAACATCTTATGCTGATATACATAAAGCCTAAAATATGTAATCTACATTTTTCTTGTTATGTACCATCAAGTCACCTGCAATTCATAGTGACCCTATGTAAAACAGCCGAAACCCTGCTCTGTCCTGTGCCAATTGTATTTTTTCCAACACACCTATCCCCATTACCCCAGTGACTGAATCAATCCATCTCATCAAAGGTCTTCCTCTCCTCCACTCTCCCTCTGATTAAATTTCTAAAAACAAAATAATCAATATATATTTGGGATTGAGGAATATACATTACTCTAAAGAAGCCAAAGTTGTATCTTTATTTTCATAAAAACAGTGACTGTCATCATTCGGAAAGTGAAAGCATACAACTCCCTGCTTTAAATCTCTTCAAGACTAGTCAGAAGACACATATTTGTCATATATTTATATTACAGATAGTAATAAAACATGTGTGTTTGCATGCTTGTGTTTGGTTTTAATACCTATAAATTCTAAAGGAGCCCAGGTGGCACAATGGTCAAGGTCTCCTAGTTAAGATAACCACCTTGTTCAAACCCACCTTGTAACTCAACAGAAGCAAGCTCTGGCTATGTATTCCTTTAAACATTATAGCCTAGGAAATTACACAAGGCAGTTCTCTTCATGTGAAAAATGAAGTGTAATAACCTGTAAATCTCCCTTTAAGTTATATTTAAGCTCCCAAATAAGGACATTTACAATAGCATGCTTACCATATCCTTTGTTGAAGACATCCTTAGCAGCCTTTCCTAGGTCACAGTAAGTCGGTGCGTTACTCATATCTTATTTTTAAAAACAGATGCAAAGAAATAAAAATAATCATTTAGTATTTATTCATCCACAGTTTTTCTACAAATCATTCTAGAAGTAGTGTACAGTTTTCACTTCCTTTGCTTCATTAATGCTTATATCTCAACACAATCAAAATTAAGACATAGCATTTGGTTCTTAAAAAATAATTTTCCAAAACACTGGAGAATAAAATGATTCCACCCATGAGTCAGAGGTCATCTTTCTGATTGCATTCCAAAGAAAAGAAAGTTCTCAGGGGCTAAAGGTGATGTTCTGTCAAAGTAAACTTCTTTTAAAAACATGCAAAATTTTTTTAAAAAATACAAAAATTCACCTTCAGGAGAGGGGAGTATTTTCTCAGGCTACCATAGAAGTCAACAAATATTTTGAGGAATTGTTAGATGCAAACAAAACAGAAGCATAAAATTTTTGCTTCTCTGAAATCCAGTTCTTAAAATAAGAAACTATCACATTTAAAAAGAATCTATCTTATTAATCAATGTGAATGTCTATACCCTCTTTCAAAGTTCTTAAAATGAGATACCGTAATCATATTAACCACAAAATACGATGGATTCTGCCTACCCAATCTTTTAACCAAAAATTTTTGTAAACTGTGAAATCAAAGCTTTCAAAAATTCAAGATGCCTTAACCTTTCATCTTGCCTACTTTTCTATCAATATGACCTTTGTGTTAAATGCTCAGAACTTATCAACAGGAGCAGTGGTGATACAGTGGGTGGGTCCTCTGCTACTAACCCTAACTGAAAGGTCCATGAGAGACATGGCAGCATAAGGAGATGTGGCAGCAGAAGGCTTTGGAAACCTTAGGAGGCAGTTCTAACATGTCCTACAGGATCACTACCATTGAAGACAACGGATTTAGTTGGTTTTATCGACATTTCACAACTTCACTATTCATTTGCCCTCTTTGTAAACCGGAAAACCTTTTCCTGCAACACATTCTGCTGTGTCCATCTTGTAAATGTCAAGGCCAAATCACAGAACCCTGTCGAGCGGCCATATTTTAAACCATTAAAAATCTGAGACCACCAGATAGTCTTTGCAATTCCTATGGCTGAGCTATCTACATATTCGGACTAATATTTATATTTAGCCTCTTACTCTAGCCATCTGCTAAGTTTCTGCCTGAAACATGACATACTGAAACATGACATATATCAAGACCTACTTCTCACTGTGAATTTATTTAAAATTCGTCCCTTAACCTAAAACGCTGAAACGACAGGCAGCACTATATAAAGTTATGAGGAAGGATAGTTTACATACGGAGCATAAATGTACTGACTCATAGAATCATAAAACTTTGCTCAGAAGCCACAGGGTTTCAGAGTTCACCTCCAAGTAATTATTTTACCACTTAACTCTTAATACTAAAAATGACCAATTCTAGACTTTTTATCTATCTCCAATTTAATGTTATTACACATTAAGGTTGTAATTCAGAAGGTAAGTATAGAAAAGCAGGCATTACATATTCAAAAAGAAATTTTAAGATTTTAAATTCTAGTTTTTCTTCTACTGTTAACGAAAGGGGTGTGGTGGGGAAAGGGGAAGACCAATATACTCAGAAGCACACACATACGGGTATTTAGGGATGAAACTACAATCTTTAAGTATTTTTAATTGTAAAATACGTTTACCAACTTATCTCAATTCTGCCTATTTTAAGACTCATTTTTTCAGGCCCAAAACCTAATGGAAAATGCAGTGCTGGTATGGTCAAGCAAAACCGAGACGACTTTCTACTACTTGAGTGTAAAGTATGGTCATGTATTTCTACTGGTTGCACAAATGGATTTCTTGTTTGTAGATGTGCGCAAAGTACGGATGTCACATTAGATGCAGACAGAGGAGTGACACAGCTTTACACAATTAGTAACTTGACAGCCAAGAGCTCCTTTTGTTCCTCCATTTGCCTCGGTAAATCGCACATATAGCATCCCTCTGGCTGCAAAGAGTGGAAGAGCGGCCCTAATATTAGACAGCAATTCCGGAGAGGAAGCTGGAAAAAGGAAGAGTCGCTCTGCTGTTCTGGGGTCCAAGTTTCCTAGAAATCAATCTTTCTAGCCTGGCGCCGGAAGAAAGAAAGTCCTTTCCGGACACCAGGGCGGGGGGAAGGTCGACGAGGCTTCGCAGCCCCACCTCTTACTACCAGGATCCATCACTTAAGGCGACAAGCGGAGCAAGGTCCCCACCGGGGACCAGCGCCCCCTCTGCCCGGCAGGTTTCACTTCTGCACCCCGTTAGACTATCTGTCTCTCCTGAGCGCTCCGTTAGGTTGCTCTGTCGTCAGAGCCCCTGCTCGGCCACGACCCACTGCTTCCCTGACCCCTCAGCCAGACCGGCTGGCCCACGGCCATGACTCCTCTCACCTCCGACCTGAAGGCCTGCCTCCGCTCCGCTCCGCCAGGGCAACGCTGAAGGTCTTCTTCAAACCAACGCCGCCCGCGCCTGCGCGACCTCACTAGCCCGCGGCGCCTGCGCGCCCCACCTCCTCCCGCCCCGCGTTTGCGCCGTGGTGTCCCGCTCGGCTCGCTCACAGCCAATCGGGGCGGGGTCGGGGAGCAGCAGGGCAGAACAAACACCGCCAACTGTCAGGCTCTGGCTGTGCGCGTGCGCAGAAGGGCCCAGCACGCAGGTGGCTAGGGATGGGAGGGGTTGGCGTAGGGTTTGCAAGGTCAGCGGACGACACTTTGTCGCTGGGAGGGTCTTCCTCTCGCGAGAATGCCCTGTGGGGTCCTAGTTACTGTTACTATGGGAGGGGCTACGAGGAAGGCGGGTGGAAAAGATGCATGGATGGATGCTGTGGCTTGAGCGTTTCCTCTCTGACACACTAAAATTGCAAGCATATGGCCCATGGGTCACCTTGTTGTTGTCGTTAAGTGCCGTGGAGTCGCAGGCGACTCAAAGGGACCCTATGAAGGAGAGCCCTCGACGCTTGGGTGCCTTTCATCCTCTCTCCAGGTTCATGGGGTTTCTGGAGGCAAGTTATTATGGAAGTGGATGCCACTCCTCCTTCCAGGCTTGTTTTCATCCGGGAGCTCCACCCCACTCTCTGTCCGCATTGGGTAGCCAACCATTAACACATTTGACAAATCAGTGTCCAGCCTCACAGCAACCAGAAGGGAACACGGTTCGGCAACTTGTACCCATCTCATCTTAAAGATGAGAAAATATAGGTGCCGAGTTGGTAAGCGATTTCTTCAAGATCTCACAGATTTAGAGTACAATTCAAGGTTGGGCGAGGTGGGCAACTCCTTGTTACTGAAGATTTGTTGCTCTATGCCCGTGCGAGAGATGTGTCCTGCCTCCATACCTTTTCAACCTGTATGCAGAGCAGATTATCCAAGAGGCAGGGCTCTATGAGGAGAAGCGTGGCGTTAGGATTGGTGGATGATCTATCAACAATCTGCGTTATGCAGATGACACAACCCTGCTCGCTGAAACTGAGGAGGAACTCATGCACTTACTGCAGAGGGTCAAGGACTGCAGTCTTCAATATGGACTGAGGCTCAATGTCCAGAAGACAAAAATTCTCACTACTGGACCAATTGGTAGCATCAGGATGGATGGTGAAGAAATTGAGATTGTTCACAGCTTCAGTTTGCTCGGCTCCACGGTCAACACTCTTGGCACCAGTAGCCAGGAAATCAAAAAATGTATTGCGATGGGAAAGTCTGCGGTTAGGGACCTCTCTAAAGTACTCAAGAGCAACGGTGTCTCTCTGGAGACTAAGGTGCACCTGATACAGGCCATGGTTTTTGCAATCACTTGTTATGAATCAGAGAGTTGGACAATGACTAGGGAGGATAGAAGGAGAATTGACGCCTTTGAGCTGTGGTGCTGGAGAAGAGTACTGAATGTACCATGGACTGCCAAGAAAACAAATAGATTCATCCTAGAGAGGGTTAAACCAGGCTGTTCCTTGGAGGCAAGGATTCTGGGGCTTCGTCTGACATACTTTGGACATGTTGTAAGGAGAGACAGGTCTTTGGAGAGGGACATCATGCTGGGCAGAGTGGAGGGACAGCGCAGGAGGGGAAGACCCTCTATGAGGTGGATTGATTCAGTGACTGGGGTAATCGGGATGGATGTGTCAGAGGCAGTGAGACTGGCACAGGATAGAACAGGGTTTAGGGCTGTTGTACATAGGGTCGCTATGAGTCGCAAGTGACTCACCGGCACATAACAACAACAACAACAACATGCCATTGAGTAGCCCCTGCTCATAAGACCCCATTCACTACAAAATGCAGCACTCACTGCACAGCAGGCCTATTCCATCTTCACGTTTGTTGTATTTCAACCCCTTTTAACCACCATGTTATTCCATTTCATTGATGATCTTCAGTGAGGAAAGACTTTCACTGCCAGCCCAAAGCAACCGGGTTCACATCCACCAACTGCTCCAGAAGAAAGCTGAGCAAACTCCTGTTGGTTTGTTGTTGTTACTAAGTGCCGTCATAGCTACCCGATGAACTAAAGACCTGACTACTTGTATCATTTTAATTATTTCTCCACGTTCATAGATTTTCCAGAGGCACGCAATTTCCGAAGTGGATAGTACTCCTGCTTCCAAGCTTGTTTTAATAGCTCCAATAAATACTGTGCACCATGGGTAACCATTATCGCATTTGACAGATGAGTGTCACAATATTTAGCATCACAGCTACCACAAGTTAAGCTTTGTACAGCAAATGGACAGACCAGTGCTATGCCACTTAGAAGAATGTTTCACTAAAACTAAACCAGGCCTGAGGGCCAAAGATTAAAATCACCCACCTTTGGGTTGGTAGTATCACTTTCCACTGGGTCAACAGAGCTCTCTGTTGTTGTTAAGTGTCTTCAAGTCGTTGATGATTTGTAGTTATCCTATGAACGAAAGACCTGAACACTTGTATAACTTTCATCGTTTCTCCACATTCATAGAGTTTCCTAAGGCAAGCTATTTCAGAAGTGGATGC